CACTGCCCATGCACCAAGATCTGTCCCTGGAGAAGGACAAAAGATTGGAAGTGTCAACCTTGCCCATTCTGGTCTACTTTGGGGATCTGTCCATATGGTTCTAATGAGTGATAGGGTCACTAAGTGCACACCGTCTACCAAATGCAACTCATAGTACTTTGCTGAGAGGCAGCATAGAGAGATGCCTCAGAGCATGAAACCAGAGCCCAGCTGGCTAGGGCATCTCTGTGCCTCAGTTTCCTCATCTATCAAATGAGGATGATAGTAGAGTCTCTACCTTATGAGGCTTTTGTGAGAATTAAATGTACTACTATAGTTAAGTGCTGAGAATGATGGTTGGCTCACAATGTAAGCACTACATAAGTGTTTGCTTTTATGTTCGTTAATTTTTTCAATCCAGCTGAGCCAATTTGGATTTGGTTTTGAGAATGAAGAGATGGGCTGTAATGGTGTGTAACTTCCCAACACTTCCCAGTAGTGAGGTGATTTTCTGTGATGTTTATCCTCTGTGTGGCCCAGATGGAAGCATCAAGCTAACCGAGAGATCTACTTTGGGGTATGTAAGCAGCTGAGTTGGGTGTCAGTGTGTTCCACTTGAGCTTATTTCCTTTTCCTCAAGTGGGAAAGTCAGCTTGGGGCAGACTTGATATACACCATCATCTTTCTCTAAGAGGCTCCTGACTTTCTGAGTGTCCATCCAGCTGGACACATGGTTATTTGATGTGGAGTTTTTGAATGATCCTGAGGAAAGAAGAAGAACGAGGAACCAAGGATGCAGAATGATTGGGAGACAAGGACAGCTCAGGGTTCTGAGGCCTTTTCTGCTTGGAGATGCAGTCCCTACCCAGAGAGAGGAAGGGGCTGATCCCAACATGGCCCTTTTGCTGGGTGTAGGTTCTACTCTGAATTGCCCTTTCCCTAATCCCAACTATGGAGGTCTTCCCTTCCCTTTAATTATTTTTTGCCACCACTCCCCCACAAAATAGAATTCTAAAACAAAAAGAAAGTTTGTCATGCTTGGAATCAAGTTTATTTTACAATGAAGTCAATATGTATTAAATGTAAAATGTCCATTTCTGTCTAGTCAATTTTAGTTTATAGCAACCCTAGTAAGGAGCTCTGGTAGCGTAGTGGTTATGAATTGGGCTGCTAATCTCACAGTCAGTAGTTCGAAACTACCAGCTGTTCCGCGGGAGAAAGATGAGGCTTTCTGCTCTGGTAAAGATTTACAGCCTCGGAAACCCTGTACAGGGTCGCTATGAGTCTGAACCAACTCCACGGCACTTAACAACAGCATAGGACAGAGTAGAACTGCCCATCTCCTGTAATCATTATGGAAGCAGACTGCCACATCTTTCTCCTGCCAACCTTTCATAGTAAAATTGTCAAGTATAAAAATACATATCTGATATAAATATATTACTATGTTGAAAATATATTTATACTTAAATATAATATAAAGGGGCTTTAAAAGTTCATGGAAAAATTCCATTATCTTTTGAGTTCATTTTCCACAAATTTGTTGAAGCCTCCTTGTATATTATTATAAGGAGTCCTGGTGATGATGTAGGATAAGCACTAGACTGCTAATCACAAGGTCAAGAGTTCAAACTCACCAGCTGCTCTGTGGAGAAAGATGAGCCTTTCTGCTCCTGTAAATATTTACAGCATTAGAAAAGCTATACAGGGTTGCTATGAGTCAGAATCAACCATTCGGCAGTGGGGGTTTTGTGTAATATAAACATATATAGAAATATAAAGTGTAAAATGACAGGCTCCCTTATTCCTGTCCAGCAATTATCACTGTTAAGTTTTTGATCCAGTACACCAGATTTAATATTAGTATACATAATTACAAGGAGCTCTGGTAGCATAGTGGTTACAAATCAGGCTGCTAATCTCATGGTCAGCAGTTCAAAGCTACCAGCTGTTCCGTGGGAGAAAGATGAGGCTTTCTGCTCCCATAAAGATTTACAACCTCGGAAACCCTGTACAGGGTCACTATGAGTCGGAACTGACTCCACAGCACATAACACAGCAACAGCATTCATACTTATATATGTACGTGATGGTGGTGGTGGTGGTTTTGGGTGAGTCAAGTCAGTTCCGCAGCCCACTTCATAATGCACTATGCTACAAGAGCTCCTTTATCTATATTAATAAAAATTATACAATTCATGGTGTTCTACAACCTTTTTTCTTTTACATACCATATATCTTGTTTGTTGGGTTGTTTGTTTGTGTTGGAACAGTTAATATCTACAGGAAGACTACAGCAGTCATTCATGTATCTCAGACATCTTTATATGCCAGTACATATAAGACATGAAATCCTGGGGTGGCGCTGTAGGATTAGCACTGGACTGCTAACCACAAGGTCGGCAGTTCAAACCCACCAGCTGCTTCTTGGAAATCCTATACAGGCTCATTGTGAGTCAACCAATTCGATGGCACTTAACAGCAACACATATGAAACATGCTCTTTAATCGCTACATAGCACTGTTGTTGTTGTTGTTGTTGTTGTTAAGTGCCTTCGAGTTGGAGCCGACCCATAGCGACCCTGTACAGGGTTTCCAAGGGTGTAAATCCTTACGGGAGTAGAAAGCCTCATCTTTCTCCCGCAGAGCGGCTAGTAGTTTCGAACCACTGACCTTAAGGTTCGCAGCCCGATTCGTAACCACTACGCTAACATAGCACTTGTTAGGGTCTTTGAAAAGCATTTAAAAATTACTCCTACTTGAGGCTGACAGAAACCTGGGAAGTAGTGAGACTTTGGTATTACTATCTCTGCTTCACAGAGAAAGAACAAGTTGAGCTGGGGCTAAAACCTGCTCTTCTATCCAGACTTCGGTCCCAAACTCTTTCCACTACCTTATGTTACATCTTTATAAGGCTGGTATTCAGTGGGAGAGGTTGAGTTATGTGATGGGATTCACGTTCATATCATTGAGCATTGATTGACCTTTTGATACTGAAGAACTTTGTGTCTCTTCTAAGAAATGCAAGAATAAAAAGAAAAGTTAAATTCTTTGCCCTTGGAGAGTTTAGAATCAATTAGGTATAATACGTGCATCAGAAAAAGAAAAATCCTGGAGCACCTGCTACATAACATGTTAAGTGAACACTGCTGAAATGAAAACAAGGATTTGAGAGAATTGATGTATTCATTGATCAGACATTTATGACTGTCTCTTCTATGCTGGGTCCTGTGCGCTATAGAAGATACGTCTGTCATGTCTGTAACATTTAACACCTGTGTTTATATTACCATTTTCAAATGCTGAGTTTTTTTGAGATGTCATAATTTTTGGTTTGGTAGTGGTGTTTTTTAAAAATTCATTGTTGTTTTTAACTTTTTATTGTGAATTAGGTGAAGGTTTACGTACAAGACCATCAGATCTACATTCAGCAAACCATACACCTTGTTTCATTTCAATGATTACAATCCCCTCCCTGCAACGTTTATCTCACTTCCTCCCTGTGGCTCCCTATTTACATCTAATATTTCACAAATGAACAAGGCAAAAATATTTGATGTACACTTACAAAACAAATAATATATATTCATTTAAATGTTCAAAGGGCATACTCTTGCCAGCCAGCCTCCTGCCCGCAGGCACACAGCCACCATCTTTGCTGTTGTGCTATGGTGGTGTTTCTTTTGTCTTCCTAGCTATATATTCTAAAACTTGGAAAAAAATGATGGCGCAGAGGGATGAACTGGGCAATGCAGTTAATTAAGGCGAAGAAAAATGGAACACCACAATTTTGAGCAAAATTCCTGGGTGGGGAAGGAAAAAGAAGCTAAGTCAAATTAATCTGTATGTTTGGGCAGGTGATTAATACTGACTTAATATACTTAATATACTTACTTTAATGTAAGTCATTGTGACAAAAATGCCTGTGAATCAATTTCCCTAGATCTTTCAGTCACTAACACCCACTCTCTCCCCTCCCCGTTAAAGAGCACTTGTTAATTGCGTCGAGTCTGCTCCGACCTTATATAGGGTTTCCTAGGGGTGGCTGGTGAGTTTGAACCACTAACCTTACCGTTCAAGCCAACCTTGCGGTCTAGTGCCTATCCTACACCGCCTGTTTTCATACAATGATGGGAAAAGCAAGGCTGGAAAACAGAGGAAAAACAGTACTTATTTCAGTGTCTTTAGAAAACTTATTTTAAAAGAATTGCATGAAAGGATACGCGCTTTTTACCCAGTAACTGAAACCGCGTGACTTCCGAGTTCTTTTTGTTGTCTAGCCTAAATCTCTTGAAATTTAAACACTTGCCTGAGCTCTCTAGATAAAGAGAGGAAGAAGGGGCTGGCCTTCTCGACAGCGACTAAGCAAGTAGCTAGAGAACTCAGAGCGGTGACTGAGAAAAATGAGGCAACTCGCGCCCCCCAGAGGCCTTAACGTCTAAAGCAGCAGGCCCTGGTGGGCTTGTGTCACGCGAGGGAGAAGGGCTACGGATAAACTACAACTCCCAGCGTGCCGCGCGGCCCACAGGCGTTTTGCAGCTTTCAATGATTGGCCGCAGGGATATTTGAAAGGAGGAGCTGGCGCGGAAAAGTGAAGGTTGAATTTCGGGTCCTCGCGGAATACTCTGGCTGTTAATCCTTGGATACTTGAGGAAGGTCGACCTCTGGGGCTGTAAGTCCCGGAGGTACTCGTGGAAGTGTTTACACGTGGAGGTGAATGGGGAGAAACAAACTGGGGAGAAGCAGCCCGGGAGGAGAGACAGCACTCTCTGCGGGGAGGGCCGGAAAACCTCGGGACGATACGGCGGGCGCTGAAGAACTCTGTGGAGGCATCCAGGGTTGGGAGTTGGGTTGGTGAGGACTGGGATTGGTCAGGAGGAAAGAAGGTTTTGGGTCGGCGCGGTTTCCAGGCAGGGTTTTGTTGTTTTTGATAGGATTCTTTATCACCTTCTCTGGCCTTTAAATCCTTGCCCAACCTCCGTGTAGCGCCATGCTAATCTCCGCCTTCTCTATTCTCCCAAGCTCCCAGCGCCATGAGGAATTTTAAAGGAGTCAATTTTGGGAGTCTGCTGAGCAGCCAGAAAGAGGCTGAAGAGTTGCTACCTGACTTGAAGGTGGGGAGCTGCCTGGCTTGGGATATTCCTGGCTTTTCCAATTGAGGGAGTAGTTGAGGGCTTGCTGCTACTGCAGAGGAATGGAAAGGGGAAGGCTTGGGACTGTGGCTCCCAAGATGGGAAGAGGAATTAGAATTGAGGTTGCTTGGAGCTGTGATCTAAACAAACTTTACTATGATTTATTATTTTATTGCTTTGTTTTGAAAAGAGAGACAAGGAGACTCTCTCTTGAGCAACCCTGCTTCAAATTCTTTTCTCTTCTTCCTTTCCTTTCTTTGGTGGCCCAATTCACACTTTTCTCTCCTCCTAGGAGTTCCTGTCCAAGCCTCCAGCTGGGCTTCCCAGCTGCCGGTATGATGCAGAAAGAAGACAAACCTGTGATGCCATTCTGAGGGCTTGCAATCAGCAGCTGACTGCCAAGCTGCCTTGCCCTGGACACCTAGGGAGTCTGCTGGAGCTGGCAGAACTGGCCTGCCATGGCTACTTGGTGTCCACTCCCCAGCGCTCGCCCCTCTACTTAGAACGCATACTCTTCATCTTCTTGCGGAATGTTGCCTCACAAGGCAGCCCAGAGGCCACACTCCGCCTAGCCCAGCCCCTCCATACCTGCTTGGTGCAGTGCTCTCACCAGGTTGCTTCCCAGGATTATGAGGCTGTTGCTCGAGGCAGCTTTTCTCTGCTTTGGAAGGGGGCAGAAGCCCTGGTGGAGAGGCATGCTGCACTTTCAGCTCGGCTTAAAGCCTTGAGTTTCCTAGTACTCTTAGAGGATGAAAGTACCTCTTGTGAGGTTCCGCACTTTGCTTCTCCAACAGCTTGTCGAGTGGTAGCTGCCCATCAGCTATTTGATTCCAGTGGGCCTGGTTTGAGTGAAGCAGATGCTGATTTCCTAGATGACCTGCTCTCCAAGCATGTGATCAGAGTCTTGGTGGGTGAGGGAGGGAGCTCTCCTGGTCCTCTTTCTCCCCAGAGGGCCCTCTGCTTCTTGGAGCTCATTCTGGAACACTGTCGTCGTCTGTGCTGGAGCCGTCACCACACCAAGGCCACCCAAGCAGTGGAGAAGGCTCATGGTTACCTAAAGAACACAGATCTGGCTCTTAGTCTCCAGCTGTGTCAGCTGGGGGTTGAGCTGTTCCAGGTCCGGGAGGGAGGAGGGCCTCAGACAGTGGCGAAGCTTCTGGTGAAGGCATCAGCTGTTGTGAAGGCCAGTATGGAAGCACCATCACCGCCGCTGCGTGCGTTGTGTGAAAGCTGCCAATTCTTCCTATCAGGCCTAGAGCGAGGCACCAAGGGACGTTATGGATCTGATGCTGTTCTGGGCCTTTCTGCTTTTCTTTGCAGCTACTGCTCCCTCATCCGGCAGCTGCGGGATGGTGTAAGTTAAGGACCTGGAGGTAGGGTGGGAACATGGTTCTGTGGACACAATACCACCCTGTGTCTTTGGCAAGATCTGGAAGCCCTGGCTGCCTCCCTGGCAAGCTGCTCCCTAGACTATGCCTAGCTAGCCAGCCAGTAGTTTGGGATGTCTTGTCAGGATAATGGCTCCTCTTGCTGTCCTTTTCAGCTCTCCGGAACTTGTGGCCACAGTCTTCAGCTTGGAACTTACCTATCTCCTTCCTTCCTCAGGTTTTTGCAGACTCACCCAAGCAACAGCAGTCTTTGGTTCAGATGCAGTTTCAAGGACTTCATCTCTACACTCTGGTGGTTTATGACTTTGCCCAAGGCTGCCAGGTACCGACTGGGAATTAAAGAGCCTGGCCAGGGTGTTAGGGTCTGAGGTGACTCATTTTCCTAGATTGGGCTTTTGTGTTGCTTTGGCTTTCGGGGTAGAGATCACCCTGGACCTCTCATGATTCTTACCCTCAAACCCTTTTTGTCCCTTCAGGAGGCTGATTTGACTGACCTTGCCCAGCTGGTGGAGAGTTGCAAATCTACTGTTGTCTGGATGCTGGAGGCCTTAGAGGGTCTGTCAGGCCCAGAGCTGACAGACTATCTAGGGATGACTGGTTAGTGCTTTGGGCCCAGATATGGCTCATGGTGGGCGGGGGGCATTATTCAGGAGTAAGGCATGTAGTAGTACTTGGCTGGGATAGCACTGATCATTGCAGGAGCTCCATGTGGTTTAAGGAGATAGTGAAAACAGTGTTTATAAGTAGACAAGTGATAAGGATAATTTATAACAGTAGACCCTGATCTCTTTTTTATCAACTTTGAAATCAGAGTTGGTGTTTATTGCATGAAAACATTTATTTTTGTATTTTTTAAAGTTTTTATTGTGTATTATGTGATCGTTTCATAGGAGAACACCAGCTTTACATTCATGGTATTGAATATTGTTTCATTGCAATGATTACAATCCCCTCCATGTATCAGATTCAAACAACTAAAGGGTATACCCTGCAAGCCTGCCCCTCGGTTGTCAGCACACAGCCCCTCTCCCTTTCTGAGTCTAGAGTCCCTAGCTGCTCCATCTCTCCATATCATCCTTTCTGCCTCTATCTCTGGCGTCACTGATATCTCTGGGTACGATCCCGCACTCCAGTCTTCTCCCTTGATAATCCCAGGGACCTTCGCTCCTGGACTGCAAAGTCAACCACTCCCCTTCTTTTACTACAAAATGTCTACTTTTACATTACCAACCCTCACAGTCAGCCCTGATAGCAATTATTCACTGTTGTACCACAGGAGTCCTATCCCCATCTCCTTTCATCAGCCCTGCCCAGACAGATTGGAAACTACTCAGTGGAGATTCTACCTCCCTCCGTGCCCTCTGGATCTAGGCGCCCTCTTGAAAGCTTGTAAGCTAGTCACTTCTTGCCCTTGTAGTACCCCCATTTTGTGTAGCCAATATCTAAGTTGCTCATCCCTGTCTACTCTGTGTACTGAGAGGGTGGGAATGATCTTCGCTGTAAAGATTTGTTCCCTCTCTTGAGCTACTGCATCCATAGGTGTAGGTCAAGTTCATCTAGTAGTATCAGATTACTCTTTTTTTTCCTCTTCTAGTTGAGTTCTGATCATCCAGCCATTGAGGCCATGTCAAGTGGGTATTATCTGCAAGTATGAGTGTGCTTGTGCATATCCCTTCGCTTCTTATTAGCTGGATGCTTCACTCTTCACGCTAGTCCTCTGTGGCTATGTCACTGAGTCTGGGCCCAGGAGTCCCAAGGTCTTGCCATACTGCTGGCCAACCAGGTCTCCATCCGGGTTCACAGGAGTCTATTGAACGTGGTAGGACTTAACTCACAGCTTCATTGCTATTTTCCCTCACTTCCCCTTATCGGTGACCAACATGGTCACCAGTCAGACTGCATGGCTGCTCATGTATTACCCTTGAGTCTTAGTCTTGGAAGGGGGTTTGTCCTGAGTGGACCCAACCACTTGTGTTGATGGCTCCTGGGAGAGCAACTTGCTTGTTCTTGTAGTAGTCCTTCGGACTGCCATTATTATATTTGATTTTTCCTGTCGGTCTTTCTGTCAAAAAGCATCTTTTGTTCTTCTAGCAGCTCCAGGCTGGTCTGCTTGTCCTTCAAGTGGAAATTTCCCACCTCAGAAGATTCTGGCTGGGGTTCAGGATTCCATCTATGTCTTAGGCAATGAACAGCCTCCGCAGGAAGCTTCCTTCACTGGACAAGTTGTAGGCCCATTTTAGGTATTCCAATCAGTTATAGTCTTAAGATGGACTTACAAGCTTTCTATGGTGATGTTTCTGGCTATTTCTTTCTCTCTCCCTCAAGTGTCTACTTTACAATGGTAGGGAAGGGAAACCAAGATTCAAAAGACAGCCAAGCATCTTAACATTATTTCCCCTCTTTTACCCATTCAAACTATGCCTCAATCCCTATATCCCAGAGCCCTGTTGTTCCAGGGTTGTGCATACATTATTATCTACCTCTGTCCCACTTAGCCCTGGAGTCCTGGTGTGGCGTTGTGGGTTAATGCACTAGACTGCAAAGCCATTTGAACTGCAAGGTTGGCAGTTCAAGTTCACCAGCTGCTCCTCGGAAACCCTATACAGGGTCACTATGGGTCAGAACTGACTTGACAGCACTTCACAACAACAACACTTAGCCCATGCAAACCTGCCTAACTGTTTTCTCATCCACCTTGTTCTTCCATTACCCTCTCCCTTCTTGTGTATTGCCCCTCCCCACCAAACCCAAGCTATCCTGTGTCTATTCGCTACCCTGAGCTCCACCACCTTCCCCTCCCTCCCCTCACTCCACTCCACACATCCTGTTGTTGTTGTTGTTGTTAAGTGCCGTCGAGGTCAAGTCGATTCCGACCTATAGTGACCCTGTATAGGGTTTCCAAAGAGCAGCTGGTGAGCTTGAACCGCCGACCTTGCAGTTCAAACGGCTTTGCAGTCTGGCGCATTAACCCACAGTG